AACACCTTTGCTGAAGTCCTGCAGGTCCAGCGACAGACTAGCCAGGAAGCGTCTGCAGGAGGAGTCGGTAGCAGGCCTTCCCGCCAGGCTCCGGGATGCCGGAGGCCGCGAGCCGCACGGGGGCCACCCTCTTGAAGAAGGCGGACTTGCAGTGGAAGCCGATCAACTCATAGAGCTCGGAGAGGAGGCTGCACTGCTGAATTCTCTCCTCGGAACGCTGAAGCACAGGGAGAAAAGCAACAAGCATCTGAACGAAACACGTAAGTGAAAAAAGACCCGTAAAAAATGTTTTCCCTTAAAATAGAGACCCGATGCACAGGAAGGAAGAGGAAGGCTGACTTAGTGCACTGATGGGACCGGATGCAAAAACGCAGGGAAGCAGCGCTGTGCAGACGCTCCAGACCCCCTCCGGGCCCCACCTCTCCGCGTTCCGCCTGTCCTTTTACTAGAAAGGCCCGTATTCCCTGAAACAGAGGAATCTGCTCCCTACACATGAGACGCAGAAAAGGGAAGGATCAAAAGAAAGGGAAAGTAAAGGAACAACACTTCCTTTAGACCCTAGGATTTGGGCGGGACTTTCACCAAACACAACCTCTCAAAGCACAGAGCGCACAGTGAGAGGCTGACAGAGTGACTGCGACTTCTGCTCCTTAAACACCAGCTACCTGCCAGCACACGCTGCACCCGTTACTGAATCATTACAATCATCTCAGAAATATTACTTCCCTGGCTCACAGGCAAGGAAATCTGAAACTCGGGGAGGTATTATTATCATCCTGGACAAAGTCCCATGGCCCAGAATTGTCAGAGCATCCGGCAGACCCTGGACTAAAATGCTCCTCATCACCATGGGCCCTGAGCCTCAGGCTGAGGCCACGTCAGGTCTGCACGGGCCCAGAGCACGAGTCTGTGGGACAGGGAATGCTCCCACTCGAAGTGCCAGGCCAAGTCCCTCAGAAACCTATGAAATGAAACCTAATCCCCAAACTCATTTCCAACCCACTGCCCTGTCCGGGAGGACTGCTAGGCACATCTGCCATGTCACCTGTGCACAGGCTGTGCAAGGGGCCCAGACAGGGACGTGACGTTCCACTGGAAGTGGCTCGGAGACCACTTCATCACAGGACAGACTCTCCCGGCTTCCAACGCTAACCCTCCATTCCATTTCCAACTGGAAAGTAAGTTTAGACTTGTTTTCCTGTCCTAGAAACAAAGAGAGTGGTAACATCAGTGGGAAACTCAAGACAGAGGAAGAGTCTCCTGGACATCTGGAAGGATAGGCCTGGGAGGGAACAGAGTCAGGGATCAGAAAGACCCGTGTTCCAGTCCAAAGTCTGCACGTCACTCGCTTTGACAGTTTCCTTTTTAATACAGTGATAAAATCTAATTATGATTGTTGGGAAAACTAATTGAAATAACATATGCCACTAGCATAGGTGTAAAATCCTCCATGAGTGTTCCAGAAATGGACGTGATTTTGGTTAGCTACTGTCTGAAAGTCTTGGGTGCTAAGCTCACATCAGCCAACCAGAGATGTGCCAGAGAATGCCTCACCAGCCAGCAGCCTTCTCCAACTTGGGAACTCACAGTGTCCGAAGAGCCGGCAGTGGTGGATGCTTTGGGGCACTCTAGAGGCAGCACTCCAATGATGACTTTAAAAAGCTGGGGAGAATTTAGGGGACCATACAGTTCAAATATAGAAAACACATTCCATGTCTACCCACATTCATCTCTAGCCATGATGATTCAGAGAGAAAACAGATATTCAAACGTACACCATTTTCCCACATAAGTGCATCAAAACAATTTGGAAAGAGTGTAACTTTCTTCTCTAGATCACACAGCGCGGATTACAATGTTTGTACTGAGAGCCCTACTTGTAAACCATCTGCTAACATAACTGGGTCCACTATCAGTCCATTCGAAGAGAAGGATGGAAAAGAACAAAGCCAAGGTAATACGCTCCGGTCTTTGGTGGGTTACAATGTCACAAAGGAGACGGACAGGTCATCAAGGAACCACTCTGCCGAGATCACGGAGCCGGGGAACGGGGTGGGTGGCAAGATGCATGACGCAGCCGCAGCTGTGCCCGCGCTTCTAGGCAGGTACCCAAAGTCACCTCAACAAGGTGTCAAATGCTTGTGCCCACGTCCTCATCACCTGACATGTATTTAAGAGGAAGGAAAACCTATAAAAGGACAATACCTTTGGTGGGCACACTTCCAAAGAGCAAAGTCACATTTTGACAACTGGCCATCTCGGTTCCCTGGGATTCATTCTTGAAGAACCTTAAAAACCACTCCTCTGTCCTCAAGAAGTGCTGCCTACTTGTCCTATCTTTGGCTCAGGGATACAGCACGTTCACGTGAATTTTAAAGTCTGCACAGACTTGACTGTCTTTCTCCAGGTTCACTTGTCCATTCTGAAGAGGCCTGAGTTAAGTCCATCCTCTGTAAGATCAATTCCCTCCAGTGAAAACTCATCGAGCCTGCAATTAAAAGCCAACTGAACAGGACTGTCCTCAGCTAAAAATGTCAGCCACCCTTCACTGCTTTCTTAATTTCCTTTCCTGGATAATTGCAACAGACTAAAACCTCCCTCCAAACCAGCTCCCCAACTATGTGAAACAGAAAGTAGGGTCCATACAAGAGGAGACAACTCCATAGTCACCTCTGAATTCCTAGAATATACTAATGTCAATAAATAGAACTATAATTATGGCTTCTTTCCTTTAAAACCTTTCTGGTTATTTAAATGAGACCATGAAAGGGAGGTGTTTGGGTCCAGTATCTTGATCCAGAAGACTCTGGAGGCCTTTTTCGGAATGGCTGTTCACTGACTCATTCAAAACACAACTCCTCATTCCGGGAGGAGCTGTGATTTTCTGCCAGGAGTTTGTGGTCACTCTTCTACCATAACAGCTTTAAACTAAATTACTACTTTGGATGTGTTATTATTCCCCGCTACCAAAAAAATTGACTTTCCTTAATTTCTTGACTTGAGGAATGATTTTTTTTCTTTCTAATTCACCATTTACTACACAGGCTTCTCAGGATGTGCTTGGCCTTACATAGGATGAGCCATCCAACTCCC